AAAAAAAAAAAAAAAAAAAATTGGCTATCGGTATCAGCCCCAAAAATCTCTGTTGGTGCACCCCTATCTATAACAAGATTACCTCTTTCAAGTCAGATTGGCCAAAGTGCCTACATGCTTCAGCAAACCAAAAAACACACAGAACTTCTACCTTCTGATCTCTGCTCTAGCTGTTTTAGGAATTACCAGGAACTATTATTTTCAGTTGACAGCATTCCTTTAAAATGTCTATTTTTAAAACATGACCCAGAGAGCTAGGTATTGTCACCCTGCTTTGTATATTTTCCATTCACTTACTAGCCTGAGAGGCTGAGATTTGGTCTGTTCCACCAATACAGCCATTCAATTAAATATTTTAAAATTATAATCCATCTGCACTGCTCAGCTCAGACACACCCCAGCATTCAATATGATTAATTTTTTATGCCCTTTGGAAGCTTAAATTTGCAGAGTCAGTCACATTTTCCAATAGAGCCCGCAGAGTATACAGTTGCTGATATATTACTGCACACATGATGGCAGACTACATGGCTGATGTAAATAATGACTTCTGATTAGAATTTATTCTGTATGTGAGCCAGGTGCTTCCACCTCCTCATGCAGATGGAAAGAAACAAAAGGATACCAAAAAACAGGAACCTGCACTGAATGCTTCCAGTCTCATATCATTAGGAACCCTTGGAAACATCTCCACGCAGCTTACAGTCCAATTTCAAGGAAGCTGAACTGACATTTGAACACATGCTCCCCTGTAGACCCATGCAGATTTTCAATGAAACTCCATGCGGTAGTCAAAGATCACATAAGCAGCGGTAACTCTGCTCCTTTCCTTCCATTCCCATTAAAGCAGGGAGGAAATCCTTGGCTGCGATGGATCAGCCAAACTGGCAACATCAGCCAGAGCATAGCTTTACAGTCCAAAGGAAAAGAATCCCACACAGCATCCAAAACCAAATCTATGAATCTATGAACTTCTGGATCAGTGTTTCTCAACCCATGGGTTGCAACCCAAAAATGGGTCACAAGAATATATGAAAGGATTGCAAACAAACTTCAAAACTGGATCAACAAGCTTCAAAAATTGATTCTCCTTTAAAAGAGAAAAAACATGGGAAGCCATGGGTTTCCCCTTGCAGGCTGGCAGACTTGGGGGCAGTGGCTCAGGAGTGAGGGGCACTGGGTTGGGACTGGACATCTGTAAACATCAATGGGTCCTGGTACCAAAAAGGTTGAGAACCACTGATTTAGATGACCCAATTAGTGCCAATCCCCTATTTTGCTGGGTTGTGCAAAACATTAAGAAACAGTGCCACATGCTAGGGTCCTCTCTTTTACTGCGAATGGTTTTTCTTTTCAGTTAAGAAGCTGCACAACAATTTTCCTTCAGAGCTGAACTGTTTACTTAAGTAATGAAGCACTGTGAATGTCAAATAAGCACCTCCACAAGATGAACAATTACAAGATAACTGTTTAAGGAGTTTAAAAGGATTGATTGTTTTAAAACAGTGATGAAACTGGTAGTGAGCATGTTTGTTTTTACATATAGGAACACTGCCATATTTAATTATAAGATAGAATTTCTCATATATGCACCATGGGGCCAAAGCCTCAGCTGGTACAAGTCTGAATAGCTCTACTGAAATCCACAGTTCCACCAGCTGATGATGATCTGGCCTTAAGTACTTTACTGAAGCTAGAAACCAGGTGGCGTATATGTTTTAACACCCACCACATACTGTTACCTTTGTCATATACAGCAAAAGCTCAGTTGTTGTAATAGCTGACAGAAAACAAAGTTTGTTTGATTAAGGTTTGACAGACAAATTAAAGCCATACCAGAATTTCTTAGTGCTATAGTTAAGACTCAACTTCCCAGCATCATAACCCTACTTGACGTGTTTTAGCAATAGATGCAAGTCACTAAATGCTAGACTCTATGGAGGCGTCTTCCAGAGAGCATACAGGAAGCTCTGTTATGTTAGTATGTTCTTGTTGCTTGGTAAATTCATTACATTTTTCACTTCAAAGTAACTGAAGAAGTCCAAGAAAGGCACTTTGTAGTGATAAAGCTGCCAGTTGGTGGGGTAATTAAATGTTTAGTGCATGGAGGTAGCAATAATTACTAGGCAAGTAATTCTCATAAATTCCCATTTCAAGTCTAAGACCTAAAGGTGCACACACTTTATACATGCAAGAGGTTGTGTTTAAATAAATGGAAACTCTCACAAAAATAACCATAGGAGCACAAATGTTTGCAGACTCAAGACCCTAATCAGCTTCACTCCACCATCAACTGCACATGCTAATAGTTTCTGCATTGTGCAGTAGCTACAACAATGCCAAGCAAAACAAAAGCAAAGGCTACCAATGAGAAAGATAAAGATACTGGTGATATCCCCCAAAACACAGACAATGGAAATATAAATTTGGGATGCCCAAGGTCAGAAAAGAGTACTACTAAACATATCTTTAGCAAGTTGATAAAACATTCCAGAATTTCTTCTCTCTCTCTCTCTCGCTGTTCCACCTAAAGAATTAAAGCACAAAGAGACAGCAGAATTCAGAGTAGAAGGAACTATACTGAAATTTTAAAAAGCACACCACCACTTCCAAGCACAGAATGACCAAGAACTCTTGCTGCTGCTCCTCTGCCACCCCATTCCTTAGAAATTATTAAATTTACTCAACACTTCAACTGCATATATAGGAAATCATGAAGTGTTCGGATCACTTAGAACCACAAAGCATTCTGTGCATGATGGGAAGGAAGCAAGACACTTAGCTAACATCTTTAACTTGATTACTAGTAGTCACAATTAGCCTTTGTACTTCATTATTAGGAACTGGAATAACAATAACTTCAAAATAAAAGGTATTTAGACTATGTTAGAAATGTATTAAGAGACCTACTACTTACTATTACTGTTCCAGTACTACTTAATGATTTTAAAAGATAACAAATTATTAGAAGATAGCAAATGAAACTACATCCAACAAGAGATGATAATAGTCCAACAGTACCAAATTGTTTCAAGATACTGGAAATACATCACCACTTTACCAAACTGGTAAAACAGACAGGAAAGGCATGTGAATCTTCAAAACTTCAGCGCACACACCTTTCACATGGGTACTCTTGCCTATCTAAGAACCAAGCAGCGCAATACACAGTTCACAAAAAACATATCCAGCAATGAAGATATCACCTTTCCTACTATAGGGATGATACAGATTAATGCTGAACAATGAAAACATTCTCCCAAGCTATAATAAGGAGCTTCATGTAACGTAAAACCAAAACAAAAATAGCGGAACTGTCATTTATCTTAATCTATCTTTTCACATTTCCAGATGTGTCCATTTTTCACACTTACCTGGTCTTTTTCATGGGGTAGGAGGCTGACAGGTGGGAGAGAAGCTGGGAAACCACTGGAATATTTTGGAGTTCCTTTGCTTTCCAAACTGCCATAATTCACCCTATATTGAGGTCCTTCCTTCAGTAACCTTCCATTATTTACAGCACGTTTGGCCCCCAGCCTCAATCTCTGCTGAAAGGTAGGATTGCTAAAAATATGAGCTAGGTCATTTTGACTTCTCAAATATTTTTCTATGTTTTTCAGGGAGGAGCCATTTGGTTCTTGAAGCCCTTCAATTGCTCTTCTCAATAGTTTATTCCAATCCACATTACGAAGCTCATTACAGGCTCCTCTAGATCCCTTACCAGATTTAGGAAGAGTGCCTGGTTTAACAGATGAAAAACGTCCAGGATTATCTGGGTCCTTGTAAGATGCAAGGCCTTTGTTGGTAACTTTAAGAATAGAACCATCTTGAACACTTAGTTCCAACTGTTCGGAAACAGTCTTCTTATCCAATCCATGGGAAGCACACACAGCATGACAAATTCTCTCTTCAGATGGCCTTTGCTTTTGCTTTTTAACCTTTTGTATAGCTTCAAGAATCCACTCTGTATAAAGTGGGTTTGCAAGTTTTACCATGGTTGACCAGTAATTGCTTCCAGCCAAGAGTTACCCATAGATGTTCCTCCTTATCCTTCTAAGGAATCTTTCAGATGTTAGTCACAACTTGAAAGCAATCAGATGATCCCATGTGCTGTTTAGTTGCGTCTCATAAATATCCATCCTCAAGCAATCAGAAGAGGCAGAGAAACATCTGCAGACTGAAATTCCTTATTACTTTACCAATGTGAAAGGCAAGAATGACTGCACTCCTGGTGGTACCAGAACATCCTTACAGAGCTTTAAAGATAGAGAAAAGAAGAAAAACAGTTAATGCTGACATGCCTAGAGATTAACAGTAATAAAAATTAAAATGTATTGAGAGTCTTTTTTTTTTCTTTTTTAACATGAACATGCTCCAATAAAGTGCAGCTTCCCATACTATCCTTGAAGAGGGGACTTTATTTGTAATGCATGTTTAAGAAATCCAGCCATACCTATTACTCTACTTGTGCAAAAGTTGTTCACAGATTGCATACATTTCCATTCATATTCAGGGCCCTTGTTTTTGACACCCCACTTCACACCATTTACCCACTGCTTGGTTCTTAGAAAAATCCAGTTCTGTGAATCACCAAAGAAGTTTTAAAAAGTTTCCCGAAACTCTGAACATTGTACAGGCCACATTATGACACCCACCAGAAAAAATAAATGGCACCATATACATACACACTATGATTTTGTACTGATAGATATAACAAAGGAGTCATTGACCCTGCTAGAGAATCCTTTAGTTAAATAGCTTTTCAATATACCATGCTCATTCATTCAAATAGGGACTAAACTGAAGCTCTGCTTTTAATATATAAATCCAGAGATACCAGCACTGCAGTGAGCCCCACACTATTACTTATACCCTTCCCAAGCATCTGTAGAGGGATAACCATGCGCCCTGAATGTACAGATACTTGCATTTTTACAGAGGGCCAACACAGACCTATCTGCCAACAGACACAGAAGTCTACAAGAGAAGGTGAAGAGCTTCAATAATAAGAAGCAACATGATGAATTTTCACAGGCATAATGCAATTAAATTTGTAATTCTTGTTTTAGTAGGATGGTACGCACATAAAATTTAGTCATCCATGCTTCATCTATCAGTGGTATTTGTCTCAAGATAGTCACTTTCTTCTTACAGTAACAAATATCTTTACTGTACATGACTAAATTACCTCCAAATTTGGGGTTGGGATATGGTCATTTTATGGCACAGGAAGTTATGCTAATAGCTATAAACAGACATTAAGAAGAAAAGAAATCAGTTGTCATGTTCTTGTTAAGATGAACATACCTTATAAAGCAATCTTCAAGATAAATTTTCTTTAAAAAGTTGACCAACAGCTTGAACACGATCCAGATACGATACAACTGCTTTAACCAAAAAAACACCCTCAAAAACCCACAGGATTATCTTGTATTAAAGCACTAAGATAAAGTAAAAATTATAAATAATACCAGATGGAATGGAACTCCTCAGCACTGCATCCAATCAGTACTCTTGGTAAGTGGAAGATTCTCCAACTGTTCTGAAAAATCTAAAAATTAAAAAAAAAAAATTTTGGTTAAGGCTCCACATAACAAAAGGCAAAAGCAAACAGACAGATATGTACTGTAAAAATAGTATTTTCAATCAGATCTAGTCAAAGATTTTTTTTTCCAATTACAGCACAACTGAAAGTATGGTATACTACTTTACAACCAGAAAAAGTAATTGCAGTTTTCAATAATCATACTCATCTAGTTCAGACGTTCTAATCCTGAAGAGAACAACTGCAAAATAGACTTAAGACTCACATTTTTTCTTATTTACTTTGAGTTTAATTTTAGGATGAGGTCTCATACAGAACTATACCTACATAGCACAATTAATAATAAAAGAGCAGCTAGTTACTAGTGAATGTAAACTGTTCCAACCAAGAACAGTTAAATTCATAAAACTTGCCATCCTTTAAGTTTGATTGAAAAACTTAAACGTCTGGAATTAGGGAGAGGTTCAACTGGTTGCCAGGATAATAATAATTAACAAACAAACAAACAAACAAACAAACAAACAAACAAACAAACAAACAAACAAACAAACAAACAAACAAACAAACAAACAAACAAACAAACAAACAAACAAACAAACAAACAAACAAACAAACAAACAAACAAACAAACAAACAAACAAACAAACAAACAAACAAACAAACAAACAAACAAACAAACAAACAAACAAACAAACAAACAAACAAACAAACAAACAAACAAACAAACAAACAAACAAACAAACAAACAAACAAACAAACAAACAAACAAACAAACAAACAAACAAACAAACAAACAAACAAACAAACAAACAAACAAACAAACAAACAAACAAACAAACAAACAAACAAACAAACAAACAAACAAACAAACAAACAAACAAACAAACAAACAAACAAACAAACAAACAAACAAACAAACAAACAAACAAACAAACAAACAAACAAACAAACAAACAAACAAACAAACAAACAAACAAACAAACAAACAAACAAACAAACAAACAAACAAACAAACAAACAAACAAACAAACAAACAAACAAACAAACAAACAAACAAACAAACAAACAAACAAACAAACAAACAAACAAACAAACAAACAAACAAACAAACAAACAAACAAACTCATTCCAAATATCAGTGTAGGCTTTGGACACAGCAATGCCTCGGACACTGAACCTTATTGACCTAGGTGGCTGGGTAGTGGAAAGGTAGTATAATACCTTGAAACCCAATCTACCCCATAATGGTGCACAAACTCAACTGTGTAAAGACTGTTTCGCATATTTCAGGGAGTTGTAACAGATTTTGACAAGCTGATATTCCAATGTGGGCAGAAATGTTAGCAATCTTATTGGAAGCCATACACTAGGCCAACAGCCTTATTTTGGTACTTCACTGAGCACAGATAAGAACAGAGAGCAAAGACCACAAAATACATTATTGCAACTTTCATACAGGAAGGGAACTGTCAAATAAAACAGGGGCCATGCTTTTATTTGAGGTATTCTTAACCCTGGACACTGCCTCAGAAATTAAGTGTGGAAGAAAACAATCCGCCAAAATACCATACCAATGAAACCCACACTGAGACCATATTATATGGTTAACATCCTGTGGTAAAATTGAGGAATTCTGTTCAGTGGCAAATGTAACTAGAGATTTTTAACTCATTAACTTTCAATTAAAAAAAACAGAACAAAAACAAAGTATGTGGTACTACCATGGATTTTCATGGAGATGAAAGTCAGTGCTCAATTAAGCCCTTTTAACTGTAACTGCTGATTCAAATAGATTTACCAGATTTTTAAGCTTACTGAAATTTACACTATTAGGTTAATTTCATACAAACAACCACATCACTTCAACTAAATTCCAAGACATACAGTACAGGGTCTGTTCCAAGCTCCTAGGATACTGATGAAGCATTTCAGTATAAATACCGTAACTTGTGGGTTACAGGAATTTTTATTGGCCAATGACTAGAAAAAGAGTGTACATAAAGCAAAAGGCCAGTGCTAAGCCTGCTGCCTGCTACAAGAGTTTCACAGCAGTATACATTCGGAGTCACATTTTTACCTGTTTACTTTAAATTCCCTCTGTGTCATACATTCCCCTGCATACTAGCGCCTACTAAATCAACACTAGAAGAGCGTATCAGTAGAGGCACAGGAGCCTTTTGACTGCAAATGGCAAGGGTTTTTTCTATGGTGAAAGAAGACATCTTAAAGTCTCCCTTCTTCAGCAATCTTTCTGAGCCCAAGTTTGTTGTGCTCCAGGACACAGTGCAGCACTTGTCTGGTCAAACGTTTGATTTATTTAAATAAGGAATTTCTGTTATGCATTTGCTTTGTTGGAACGCATTTACTGGGGCAGGATAGACAGGCACCATGCCAACGAGCCAAGTGTCCACTGTAAATAATACACATAATAACCTGTTAATAGCAAACATTTTCCCAGTAACACAGTTCTGCTCAGTATTCTGTTATCACATAAATAAATCCATCCATTCAACACCTTTCAGCATTCAGAAGCACTGTAGAGACCATTGTTGATCCTAGCCCAGAGCCAACCAAAACCCAGGCTTTTCAGATGAACTCACCCAACCCACAGTCAAGCAAGACATACAACTGCAAAGAGGATCCTCCAATTTAAGTGAAAAAAGGATTTCTAAATATAGGAACTTCTCCAGCACCATACAATGCCTATGACATCACAGTTAACAATCACAGTTGCAATGTTTAAGTATCTACCTGGACAAAACTGTACACAAATTTCATTTTATTACAATAGCGTCTTCTACTAGTTTACAGTCTTTCCCCCATACCTTATTCATAGTCTTCCAAAAAAGATTACCACCATTCAAAGCAATTTTAATGAAACTTCAGCACCTACTCCCTTCCCCAAATATGGGTTAGTTTCACCACAGAAATCTTAAAATGAAAGTGACCGGTTGCCAGTCACCATGATTTTGGTATCTCAAATACTCACTTATTCTGGATTTGAAAGTTTTAGTGTTTCAATCACATGGCTTTTAAAAGCCAAATCATTAAACTTTTGATGGCACCTATTAATATGTAGGCATTAGCATAGCACATACAGCATACAAGCCTTTTGGAAAACATGGTGCCTTGCACTGCAGCAGGAGAAAAGGCACCCCTATTCAATGCTCAACTAATATGAAAAGTCAAAAGGGAGGCAAAATACACGAGTTGCAGAATCATAGCATGGTGATTAGAATGAAATCAAATATACATGCTGTAAGAATACATCTACTGTAGAGCCAAAGCCAATTAAAGAATACACTGACTGAACATGTCATTCTTGAGTGTAGTCACTAATCTTATAATCCTGTAATGACATTTTCCTTTAGACTAAAGGAGTATTGGGATTATTCAGAAATATTTCTAGTTTTCGAAAACACGTTTTTTTGCTTAGAGGGGGGAAAAACCTATTGTGAAGAAAGTCTAGTTTATAAAAAGTCTGATCGAAAAGTGTTCTGAAAAGCTCATAAAAATTCTCCCAGGTTGCCTTAAGCATTATGCCCAAATAAACTTTCCAACATTTGATCTTAATGTAATAGGGAGAGGGAAAAAAAGTCAGAAGCAGAAGACAGCCAGTTGTGCAACCTGCTGGTGACCTGCAAACTACAATTGTATTCAGTTCCCTCCTACCTGCTCTGTTCACACAGGCAGTAGGAGCAGCTGCAGGCCAGCTCTCTGCTGCAGCATCAGGGTCAGGTAAGGATTGCAGCAGGAGTGCAGAAAGAAGAGAAAATTGCCATTGCATTAAATAAACTCCCCTTTCATCTAGCTCATTATTTAGAATTACGCAGCCACTCAATTCAGTTTCCTACCACCGCCCCCCTCCTCATTTAATGATTCGAGAGAAGTGTTTCCTTCACGCTCAAAACACAGACACACACACACACACACACACACACACACACACACACACACACACACACACACACACACACACACACACACACAAAGAGAAACCAGATATGGACTCCTAGTGCATAAAACACTCTTGAAAATTATTCAGATCATGAAGCCAGTGATTTCATTCTTCCCCATTCATTACATATGCCCTTAATTTTGACAAGTGAATAAACTGGAACCTTGGCCAACTGCAGAAAGAAGGCACTGTAGCAAGTTCAGAAACAGACTGAGGGCTTATTTATGTTTTTTGGAAAGCAGCAAACCTAACCCTGAGACTCGAAGAAGCGTGCGCAATGCCCCATTAGCCAATTCAAGATCACACACTGAAAAGCAGCAATGTGACCGTAACCAGCACCACCAGCAGCGCCGTGACAACATGACAGCCACGGAAGTACCCGCCAGCCCTTCCCACCTGCCTCCCCGGACAACTATTTAAGCGGCAAAAAGTGCCACAATGGTGGCAATGACTAGAAGCTGCCAACCCAGGCGCCACGGCAGCACCTCCACTCTCGATGGCAGCGGGGCAGGCACATGGGCTGGGGAGAACCTTTCCTGGGACAGAGGTTTTAAGACAAAGTTTTTTCCAAGGAACCATTGTCAGCGCTCACCAACCCCCGTGGCTGGGGCTTTGCGAGGAAGGGGCGGCTTACGTCATGCTCGATGTTTCCACGGCAGGGCTCGGTCTCACCATTCAGCCACCCTGGTGCTAAGAGGCGCCACCTCGGGGCAGGGCAGCGACCACCCACGCGGGGCTCCAAGAGGGGGCGCTGACACGGAGCCGGCGGCCAGGGGCCCAGGCAGCAGGAGCCGGGCTGCGCCCCGCGGAAGGATGCTGCGGGCCGCCTGTCCCCTCCCCCGCAGGGTACCACTCACCGCTCCGCGGGGCCGCGGCTGAAAGGGGAGGAGCCACCTCCAGGTGCTGCAGCTGCTCCCCCTGCTGCCGGGCTGATGCTGAGGCTGCCGCCGCCACCGGCTCTGCCCCGCAGCTGCCGCCGCTCCCCCTCTGCCGCCGCGTCTCCCGCCGCTGCTCCCCCTGCCGCCGCCGCCGCTCGGCTCACCTAAACCGCCGCCATTTTGTTTCGCCCTGTTGTAGTTAACGTGAATCCGACATGACACTGATTACAGCCCAATGGAGGCTCATTAAAACCTTACCTTCCCCACGCCCCGCCCCCGCCGCCCAGCATTGGGCCGCGCCGCGCACGCCGCGCGCAGCTCATTGGGCAGGGCTGCATGCCTATCAACCGCCCACCCGGGCCCCGCCCCGCCCAGCAACCAGCCAGCTTCCCCATTGGAAGGCGGGGCGTGTCAAT